AATACTAATATGGTTACAAGCTAAAATCTTCCACAATAGAATTATGGAATATATATATTTAAAATGACTGTAATTTTCCGTCGCGTCTGCGTGTCATACACATTTAATATTTGTTTATAAAATTGTGGATAAACTGCAAATAATGCTTTCAAACACTGTTTGGTGTAAAACGCGGAATATATTTCTTAACCTTATTTTTAATTAAATTTCACTAATGTTAAAGCTAAGAATATTCTAGCCGTAGTTTCGATAAATTAAAAATAACTTTACTATTTCGTATATTTCGTGTTTTAATCCGTTAAAAGAAAAATACTTTAAATATGAGCTAATCGAGTAAACTACAGATGCAACTACAAATAATACGTTTTAAGCGTTATTAACCTCCTTAGGCTTAATGTGTCTATCAGTGTAACATCATAAATGATAAATAACGATCAGCGTTTGTAGAACAGACAAAGAAAGTAACCCGTCAAGCAAGTGACAAGGCGAACCAGTTGAAAAAAAGCACTATAACCAGGTGCTCAGGTAACACAGTAGGTGTTACAAAAGCGAAGCGAGAGCTAAAATAAATAAATGTACATTAAAAAGTATTTACAATTAATATTTATTATCATGTAATATCATTATAATGTAATATACAATCTATAATTCAACGTGAAGCTGCGTGTCCCACAGTTGGGCCCAAGGCGAATACAATACTGCGTGCGTTTCACTTTTTTCCCCTTCTGAAACTTATCGTCTCCCTGAGATTCAAACCCTGGACCATTTAGGCTATGCTATGCAACGGATTTAAAACATTAAACATATACCTATGGCGGAGTTATATTTAAATAAACCACAATATGCCAAACATTATTTATAGATTTCAAATTGAGAGCCAAGAAGGATTATCCCAAACCATCAGGACGGTTTCAGATCAGGACCCGTCATCAACAAAGGATTTTACGTCCTGCTCTAACAAGTGCGACACGTGAGAGACAAGTGTAAATTTACCAGTTCGCGGACATGTGTTACCCGATTTTTTGTGTCAGCAGGTCATTGCAGCAGCTTTGAACGACGAACAAAAATTTTGTACAAGCCTATCAACTTACTTTCTACTAAAAGTAAATTATTAAATACAATATGGAATAAGTAAGTGATCCTTTAAATATTTTATCAAACGAAGGAAAACCAATTAAGACGTCATGAAATTTCTCCTTAATAACACAATAAGTAGATTAAAACAATTTTAAACATTTAAAATCGCGAAATATATTACCTAAATTAATTTAAACTACGACCCACACGTCTTCTATTCTATTCTATACATATATACCGTTTACCCCGTAAGGCACGGGGAGAACACATTTCTATGTCCGTTTTACTTACAGGCAAGTACCTGATCATACCGCCAGGATTCGAATCCTGGACCTTTCACTCTAACGCAAAGCTAGGCAACATGTTTAATCATTTAGCTACAAAGGCAGTTAAACATATGTTACCTCGTATAATTCGGATTTTGAACCGTTAAAAGTTTGGCCTATCTAATGATGACAATACAACATCTATAATAATATTGCAATTTGTTTGTTGTCACTTTATCCTACCTCAAACGTTTAACGCTTGCAGGAAAATACGTAAAATACTGAAAGAAATTTTATTTGCACCTACAACGTTCTGGCTTGCCGCAAATCCACTCAAATCTAACGCTATTGAAATAAAACTTCAAAAGAGAAAAGCGGTTTATGGCTAGATGGTTTTCTGCAGATATTCAGAGTGTAAACAAATTTAGACCTCTATATCATGTAAACCTTCGTGTAGCACTGAATCCCTTTATTTGAGCTATCATCATAATATGTACTGTCTATATACAGTACATATTATGATGGTACTCGCGTAAACTATAGTTACACATTTAAATAAAACACTTTAACGGTTTAAAACGCGATATATTAGTTAAACTTATTTGAAAATGATTTTTTCAATTTATTTTCGATTTTTAAATTATATTATAGTGCCTTCATGTGCAATAACATGTGAAAAATATTAATGTTTTAAAACGCGATATATTAGTTAAACTTATTTGAAAATGATTTTTAACTGCGGCCCGACGTTTCGGATGCTTTGCAACAGCTGTGATCACGGGGAGACAAATCCAAATAAGCTTAGCTTATATATATCGCGTACTAAACCGTTAAAGTGTTTTATTTACTACCACCAATTTAATATTCGGCTGTAAATAATTAAAGATCATGATAGAGACGGTGGCCGTCGAATTTAATATTTAGTGAACAAGACTGTTTTTTACACAACTGGCTCTTCCCATTATTTTAGCTGGATGTTCGTTCGCTAAGTGTTCATTTACATAAGTTTTGCCAAGATTTGAATACAGAACTTCTGGCGTTCAAGCACTGTGCCATACAACACATACGTGTGTTTCAACGAAAACTATTTATGTATAAAGCTAGTACTGCAAACAATTTTCTTTTTATACACCGTCTGACACCTTTCAAAGTAATAAACGGAACCGAAGCGTATAAAACCAAGAGTCTCGAGCACCAAGCAACCTGCCTCCAACCGGTTTAAAAAGAAACTACCGCTACTTACCGTCGCAGGAGAAATGCACAATCGACTAAATAAATAAACGCGAAAACAGTCTTTGTGCGCACGCGATAGGGATTAAATTTATATAACGACACGGGCGTAGAGCAATAAGATTAAGTAGCGATTGTGGCATTAAGTTATTAATTGTTAATAATTAAAGAAAATAAGCTTGCACGCTGCGTTGAAGTTTCCGGTAAATTATAGGAATACTTCCATTACAGACAAGGAAAGCCTAACAACATTACCTAACTGTGTGACTGTAAAGCGTTGTACGTAGTTCACGCGACGCGTTCACTTTTAACGGTTTAAAACACGAAATATATCAGTTAGCCTATTGGTAATAACGATTCGATGATTTAGATGCAAAGTATCGTATACGTAAAGGATCTATACTTTGTTTGTTTGAAAGGGCTTATGTAGGAACTACTGGTTCTAATTGAAAAATTCTTCTGGTGTGCATTTATCAAGGCTATGAAACGTTGCGATGCGAATTATAGAAGCGAAGAAGCAGCAGGAAATGTAAAAAAACGGGAAAATCATCGTCTGTGAAAGTTTCCGATGCGGTTCGAGATACCCAAAAAACATGGATGAAAGAATTATGCCGCTTTACATAATTTAAAAAATGCTCGGTACAGTATGCGTTCATCTTTTAAAATTAACTCGCTAGAACGACGGGACGTGGAAAACGTAGTTGGCAGCTTATATTTGTAGTTGAACAGGAGGTTTGAAAAAACAAATTTTATGCCCAAACTGATCACTCTAGGCGGACGAAGTCGATAACAGAGCTAGTTAATTCTATAAACCAAATATTATTCACGATAATATGTAAGCAGTATACTTAAGGCATGATTTGTGTCATCGATGCTCGGAAAAAAGTCGTTCAATATCTTATCGAATTGCATATCAGGTGACGTTAAAACTAGGTCTCACTTGTGTAAATAAAACGCCAGTGTTAGTTGAAGTTTGAAATTATAGGCTTAGTGGAAGACTGTCAGCACTGAACTACCACGACATAACGTACACCGGTTTACAATCAAGAACCAACTATGGGTTTAGGAAAGTTGAAGATGAGTTGTTTATGTGTCGTTTTTCAAATATATACTACCTGAAACGAACGACAGAAGTAACGACTGATATAAAACAAATCGATATTTAACTCGGTAACAAATACTGTCTGTAGTTTACGCGAGTAGTACACATTTAAATAAAACATTTTAACGGTTTAAAACGCGATAAACTTTACTTGAAACTTTTTGAAAATTACTTTTACCTACGACCCGACGTTTCGGATGCTTTGCAGCAGCAGTAGTCACGGGGAGTCCCTCCCGTTTATATATCGCGTTTTAAACAGTTAAAGTGTTTTATTTAAACTTGGTAATAATAAAATTAGGCTTTTTTATAGTATGTAAGGTAAAACATAATTTTCCTTTCATTTCCTTCTGTAGGAGACATGTGTTTTCGAAAATATTTAATAGGAATGTTGAACGTTTTAACGGTTTAAAATGCAAGCATATTAGTCAAACAAATTTAAATAAGGTAATAAACAGTAAAATAATTTCACATCATAATCATGTCACCTATATTTTTAAATGTATACTTAATATTTTAGACGATTACAAACAAGCTTTATTGTTCGATTCCATTCAGCGGTCAAGTGGGTAAATCATAAAGTTGTAGGTCACAGTTTTAGCCCGACCGACGAGTGAACGGTTGAAGGTTTACGCGTTTCTGCATCAAAATCTCAGCTATGCAAAAGTGACATTGGCTTATATTCTTAACGAACCTTCAACCGCTGGGGAAGCTTGGTGGAAGGTGAAAATGCCCCAGATTTATACCGACCCTGTGGAATCATGGTTGAAAATTTAAAATGTAATATATCGTTTAAATTATATATCTAAAAATATATATAAATTGATTGTACAAACTTTTGACCCGACGCGAAACCATTAAACTGTTATGTATAGTTTTAAATGCCAGTAGAGTTTAAAACGGCGTTTGAAATTTAATTTAAACATATTAAAACGCGTCCTATAGTATTAAAGTTAATTAATATAAAGACCCCCGTAACTACGACTGCTAAAAACCCTCCAAAAGGACGGCTCAGTAGTTGTTAAAAAACCGCGTTTAAATTCGTTCTATTTGAAGAGTAAACCGGGCGGGTGTGGTCAGCTGATCGCGACGCAGCTGTTAACAACAAACGCTTATCGATTTTTCCGAACCAAATATCCTCAGGCAACACTTGAAACAAAACAGCTCTAGCCAGTTTAAAATGGCAGTTAGATTAAAAAAAATAATAGACATCATAATGACCTACTTAGTTATTTGTTTGGTTTTAAATTATACATAGATATAACTGTATATCCGTTCCTATCAATAAGTTAGTGCCATTGATTAGAACTATGGTGTAGTTTTACTAGTTATAATTGAAAGGAACTAACCTTAATTCCGGAGCGTCCCTGTTGCTTCAGCAGCACATTCTCCGGCTTCATATCGCAGTGGATAATTCGGTTTTTGTTCAGCGCATGTAAACATTGCAGGAGGCTGTGAGAAAACTTGCGAACCAGCTGCAAAGAGAAGCCCTGGTACTTGTTCTTCTTTATCAATTCGTACAAGTTGATGGAGAGCAATTCGAACGTTATGCATGTGTGATTCCTGAACGTGAAAGAATCGAACATGTGTATCACGTTCATCGTGTTATCTTTGTCCTGTTCGCGGAGGTGCTCCAATATACGGATCTCCTCTTGAGCCTGCCTGTGGAACCGTTTCTCGTTCCTCACCATCTTCAGAGCGACGTTCTCCCGCTTCTTGTGGTCGTACGCCTTGACGACTTGCCCGAAGCTACCCTTACCTATAACTTTGAGAACTTCGTAGCGATACGCTATGTGGTCGTGCGGGATGTGAATGTAGGAGCCTTGCTCGTTATCGTACTGGCAATTGTTCGGGAAGCCGACTAGACCCGGCCGTTTCTTCGCGTTCGCGCCTATAAAGTACACTTGGGGGTAATCGAAAATCTCTCTGTGCTCGTAGGGGGTCAGTTTGTTCATGTACAGCTTCATGACCTGCTCGGGGCTCGCGGCCGCGGCCGGCGGTCGCTTGTCGGGCGGCTGCGCGTTGGCCGCGGGTGGAGCGGGCGGACCGGGCTCCAGCGGCGGCAGCGCCCCGTCCCGGATCAACACGCGCCCGAACGCGTGCGCGCTCCCTAAAGGCATGTCCCCGGTCATGGCCGAGCGGCCGCCGCCACCACGTACTTCGGTCGCCGTGGCCGTGCCGACCCACGCTCGCTCGAACACACCACTGCACCTCACTGCACTCGCACTGCTGGATGGCGCCACCCTGATGCACTACACATTTCACAACCGATAGCCGAGAGAACAACGCTTCCACTCACGGCGCATTCCGTCTCGGGGACTGTGATGGAGCCGTCAGTGATGATACCGTGCGACGCGAACGTGAAACGCAAACAAAGACCCCCTTCCTTGCGTGTCGACCTGACGACAGGACCAGAGAGAAAATAGAAACTGGTCGCACAAAGTCATTGAACCGTTCGACTGCGCAGAGCACGCGAGTGGGAATGAGACGGAACATGTAAAATCGGTACTTGTCTGCGATTCTAGATGGCAGTAGAATAAATTATTCGATAGGTTTGACAGCGTTATTGTGAAACGCCTAAATTAGGGATGCCATGATGAAAAATTTATAAAAAAAAACAAGTAGCACTTTAGCATTATCTACAAAACTGTATCAAAATCAAAATAATACTTTGGCATTATTAGCACAAAATACTATGCTGTGCCGTTCGGACGAAGTTATAGAAGATCACAGACATCAAAGAACTACAGATGGAAAAAATAATAAGATTCTGCAAGCAAACCGGAAGGTTTGAAGGGGACACGGGGAGAGTTGGATGACCCAAAACCTGTGGAAGGAAATGAGGAAATGGGTGAAATGGTCGGCTGATAGTGTGGACTGGTCACCCGGCCTACCACAGGTGCCACCGAACCGTAGAAAATAATAATAATAATTCTGTGCCGTAGTCGGTTTAATCCATATATTTTTACGCAAACTTAAAAAAAGGAGTCCGTCAATGATAGTAATATTGTTATAAGAATGCACATTGAAAGAATGATAAATTAAGTTATTTATTTTGAAACATTTAACTACTGTTCAAAACGCTCAAAACGCTAAAATTGAAATGCTTTATTTTTATTTTCAGTTCAATCAGGTTTTGTTTGTCCACAAATTTATTTTGTCTTTCTTAACTTCTCACAACTTATATAAAGAATATAATATATTGTAACTGTGCCTATTAAATATTTGTAATGTTATGAATTAAATAATTACTATTATTTTGCATTTTATCATGGAAACATCAGAAATCATGACTTATTTTATTTATAGCAGTATTTATTACAGTATTTAACAAAACAAACCCAAAAATAATTATTACTTATGGTGAATTAGAACAGGTGTTTCACAAGACATACAATTAATTGTCTATGGAAAATTTTATCCGCGCCATCTAGCGATACACAATAAACCTATAAACTGTACATCTTCCATCCAATTCAGACGTCTTTCTCACTTCGTTTTCCTGTCATTTTATGTACTTGAATCGTAATAATTATGTGGTAATTTTAATTTTATTTTCTCGAAAAACATGAACAGAGACTGTTGTGTAACCCTTCATTGTGCTTAGTTTGTGTATTGGATCTCTACGCTATTATAATGTAAGTGAATCTTTCTTATACATATAACATCTTACAAAGTGATTTCTTTTTTATCTTATAATTACCCCTTTTTGTGATCTTGCTGACTAATACGTCTTGTATTCACGATTGTACACACAGGTCAAACGTACAGTGTAATAAATGTACGTTAACAAAGTTCAGAGTCGTAGTTTTTTAATAAAACTTGCAATGTCGGGAATATTCTTTAGTTTAATACAATTGGTCTTTCAAATAAAACGTTCTATTTGCTATTGTAATTAACATAACACCTTAAACTGTACCAGGAAGTCACTGATTTTGTAATGGTATTCTATACTTATAATTAATCAACAATATAAGTGGTCAATAATATGTTCTATTTGGAGAGTGGCCAGTTTCCACTGTCCAGTTACTTGTAGTTAGATAAGCTTGCTTTGTTTCCCATATAGATGAATCATTTACGCTATGTAGTAACAAATTGTGTATATTAGTCATGAGAGTAACCTTATAGTTTTGTAAGCAAACAATCTGACTATTTAAAAACATTATATTCTCTGCTCCGTTCATATTTTGTGGAGGCTTATTTTATGGAAACTGAATTTGCTTATTTAGTTACACTCATTGCGGTTACATGTGTCTCTGAATAAGTTTTTATTGATGCACTGTGCTTTATTTTATCACATTGTCATTAGAAAAGCTTTCTAAATTTTAAAATATTTACTTTTTAAACACTTCAACTGTTGTTCTTAACTCAAAATAAAATTGTATATCTACTACATCTCAAACTATACCTTGCTATATGGTATATCATTTAAACAACATATATATATTATGATTAGTTTAACTAAATGAATCTAATTACAATATGTTTAGATAAATTTTAATAAAGTATTTGCACCATTTTATTGTACTAAAACCTTTTCACTGGTTATTGTATACAAGCAAAATCTAGTTTCCTGCTAGGAGTCATGGGGTGAATTAATATTTGTATCCAATTTAACAATTCGTTTAATTTATAAGTAAGTAGTAAGCTCAGACTTGTAGGTCTTGCCTAAAACCAATGTTTTCCAATGATTTTAAACCAGGACCTCTCGTGCTTGCAAAAAGCTAGCCAATGTGTTGAACATATACTACCAATAGTCATTAATAATGACAGGAAAATTGATACCTGTACAGTGATTGTAATGCTCACTAATAAATCCTTGAACGGCTGTTCCTGTTTTGTTTAATCATTATAATTATACTAACGTGTGAGAATTTTTTCTGTATATTTCCGCTCGATTTTGTGTTTTCTTATGTTAAAAAGTTTAAAAACACATGAGCTCAATTTATTTTGTGCAAAGTTACAATTTAGGTATCAAGCATATAGCTTAGTTTTCTTGTTCATAGTAAAGTTTATTCATGAACCACGTTCATCTAATATTATAATACAACATGACCTGACCATCCATTGTTGCCATATAAATTATGCCTAGAGAATTTCTAATTTTAACACGTTGTCTGCCGATAGAAAAAATGCACTTTCCCGTTCAGGCCGTGTCGGTCAGTGATGGTTGACATCAAGAATTTCCATTTGAGCCGCGTCGGTCAATGATGACCGCGTTTAACAAGGATTTTCGTTTCGTTCTTACAGACCGTTGGTAAATGTTATCAAACTAAATCCTATATTCATTGACCCGCGTGGCCCTGTAGTTACTCTATATGAAGTTGGTTTTTGCAAAATTACAAGTTTCGATATACAAACAATAATTTCTATTTAAAAAATGTTTACTTAAACTAAATATAATCATTTTAGCAGGTATAAATAAAAAAAATACATATATTAATTTGTATGAACTTATCAATTAATTATGTATGAAAATAGGCAAAGTAACTCAACCAAAAAAAAAAAGTTTATCATGGCAAGTGTTAAAAAAGTACTGATTGATCTGACTGATCCATTTTTTAGTCTTGTTTCCTTGCAATTGAACGTCAAAATATGGACACATTTTTCTAGTAACATTCTACACAGGAACGATGCAGTTTCACCGAAGGTGCATCTTTTTTCTGACTCACGTGCTTTCTTCATGTCGTCTGTCCTCTAGGCACTCTGGCTAATGCAGGCTTTGCCAAAAACTTTTTAGTATTTCTTTTCTAAAGTCTACAATGCATATGGATTTATTTATGACGCTTTTAAACATATCTAAAGCATTTACAGTAGCGACATTCAATATGACATCATCAGGAATTTTTTTGGAAAGAGGCGAGCTGACCCGACACCACGACCCGCGCGGCCCCATGTAACGGAATGACGGTTTTTTCGCTCTATGGGCCGCGGCGATCAATGCTGTTCGACATTAATTATTTCAATAAATAAAAGCTTAAATTGACTTTCGACAAAAATACAATACATTTGGATACAAAATAAAATCATATGAGCAAAAAAATATCTCGGCCCATTTTGAACAGAACCACATTTTTTACTCGGCCTAAACGGAAATTTCGCTGTCGGTCAGCACTGACCGCATCGGCAGAGAACGTGTTAAGTACGGCTGCATCCCTACTGGACAAGGTGTAATACCAATAGAGAGTAGATGAGTTATCAACTGGGATGAAAAAAGATCCAGTTACTAAAAGATTTTTTTTTCATGTGGCTAATACTACTTAAAGAACATATAAGAAATTCAAAGAAAATGTTTTAGAGATAACCACTTAGGGTTATGAAAAGTAGTAACCGATTCCCAAATCTACCGAATATGCATATAAAATGTCATACAAATTGGTCGAGCTGGTTGTATGGTAACACTCTTATTGTTTTGTGACACCAATCGATGGTCGGCTCACGATTTCTTGACTTGATTGACAGGCCTTGACCAAATTCCTCTCAAGTCATTGTATTGATATTACACATAGTGACAAAATGGGACATAAGACAACAGTTATCACTAGCCCTTAGTCACCTTTGATAACATATGTAACATGTTAAACTAGACAATACACACAATTTTCACTGATAACTAAAAATATCGGTCCATCTTAGTTTTATATTGGAATATTTTTAATATTAACCTGGAGTTAGGGATTAAATTGTTTTTATGATAGAGGAGGATAGACCAGTATGAGACATCTAAATAATGTGCGCTGTCGACCTATTTGTCGTTTTGGATATTCGGAAATCCAAATGTTTCAGAAAAATTATAAAAACGGTGGTGATCAAACCCACGACCCGATATAATCATCGGGCATCGGGTATTATTAGCCATAAATTGCTATCATTACACCAACGAGTAGCACCGCTGTGTTTGGTGAATCATAGGTCTTGATTGTCAAAACTAATTTTGGCAGTAGTCTTAAATCTTGGAAAGCTAGATAGGCCAAATCCCAAACCCTAACTCATCTAGAAGGAATACCGATTCCCACCCATAGAACATTCTTTTATCATTAAAAATACTAACATGTACTTCGTTAATTCCTTATAACACTGAGCTCATAAAAAGAAAGAAAAAATAGATTAGTGATGGAAATTTCCATTTTCCTGCGGGATGGTTCACGTTTCGTTTCCGATAATCGCACGTCTATGATTACATTCATTGTTATGAGATAAGATAGTATTGTGATGGTTTGCCATTGTGTCCCATTGAAAGACAGTCGAAGCAAGTTTCCGAGTAAACAAGCTTATCTCTCCCCGTGACCATGGTGGCTGCGAGCATTCGAAACGTCGGGCTGTAGTTGAAAATAATTTGTATAAAAGCCTGTCTACTTTTTACCCAGTCTTACAGTTACACTGTATGATAGACTCTCAAAATATTATTTTTTGATGATAATTTGAAAAAAAAATACGACACGTGCATCCACAGCGTTCCGTTACTCTAATCCATTGATTGATCCCAATTGGTTAAA